TTAAAAGCCCAGACACAGAGCAAACAAATCCGTTCGTCACACAGTATATTCAAAAGTTCTGGCATAAAGAACCGCTGTGTTAGCCGCGTAGACCAGATATTTGTTGTAACAATAAATTATTGTTTTATTGCCTTCGAGAACGAAACGCATTTTACAGCTTAAACATTGAAAGAATGTCTTTACGAAATGTATGATAATTTATTTTGTTTCTATTTTTTAACTCGAGCTTCAAGATAGAAGCTTTCGTTTGTTTCGGAACGTGTGATTGATTAACTATGACAAATATTTGTTAAGCACGACGAAAATGGTTCTCTCGATAACTCACTGTTATGATTGAACTTCTAAATTTATTTGATTTTTATGTTGCACGTTCCTTTTTTTATGATTTTAGGATTACTGGTGGCCCGGAGGCCTTTCCAGTTTCACCAGGACAGGTGGGCAAGCAAAGGCTCAGCCAGGAGGGGTGTGATTTGCTAACAGCCACCGAGCGCCTCCGAAGGAGACCTAACAACTCAAGAGCAGCTGCTTCGCGAATGAATCTACTGCCGGATCGGAATTGCGACCCGCTGAGAAGATCCGGCGAGAAACTCAGCGAGCTGATTCATGGGTTAGGTTGCACGGCGAACTCTTTGTCGAGTTCGACGAGTACGGTTACCGGGGTCCCTAAGCCTGCTCCTAGTGTTAGAGCTGAAGACATCTAATGCAAAGGTTATTGGAACTGATGGATCCGTAAGGACGTGTCTAGGGCATCGACGGTGACTGGCTCTGCACGTTCCTGTAGTATTAGGCATAATATTAAACGATGTCGACGCTTGAAAGGCAAACGTGACTAAGCGACAATGCGTGAACTTTACAGTAGACTAATTTAAAGTTGATATTAATTTAAAATATACCTGAGAAATACATGAAAAAAAATCTATTTTAACGAATCTAGCTGTAGGATTGAAATGATTTTAATAGACCTAGAAATATAAATTTTTGGGCGCATCGAATATGGTTATTGCCTATCATTTATGTACAAAGCAGTTATTGTCGCTTAGTCACGTTTGCCTTTCAAGCGTCGATGTGCAATATCGGCGTATTGCATACTATTAAAAGTCAGCCGATTAATGTGTTTCGTGGTCTCGTAGGAACATTTCTGTTGGCCGGCTTACTTTAGTTTAGCAGTTGTAAAAACAATGTTAGTTTCAGTTCAATCAATAGATAAATAATTGTGTCTTTAACTTTACGAAATCTTAGCCCGTGAATAATAAAATTAAATGAAATATTGAACTTTCGTTAATTAAAAAATATCTATCCACCAATATCGTGCCAACACGAAAATACATTTTGAGAACGTTAACGTGGTTATAAAACATGCGTGTGACACACAGTCGTTGGAGTACCGGTGCATTAATAATTTCAGAATCAGCGGGTGATTCACGCGAGTAGGATGCGAGGGACATGAAGAAAAGGGGAGGGGCGGGGACGCGGAAAACACTCGGCCCACTTCGCTCAGGTACGAATATAACCGAATAATTTCCCCACCTGCGACCGAGCGCTCTGGAAAACGGGACAAGTACACTCGTGCGCACAATCGTTTCAAGATGTTTTAAATTATCCAAAAAAACATTTTCTATTATAATTAATAAGAACATTATCGTGTCCAGATTATTTTTTTCAAATCTATTTCTGAACTGGCTTTAGTTTCAAATACGCAATAAAAAATTATAAGAACCAATAAACACTAAATACTAAATCGTAGCTTTCTTATTTATTGGCAGAATTGGATAGATTAGTTTATGTTCTACCACTGTTAACTTTATACCGAAGCTTACAGATTTAGCAACTGGTGCGGCAGATACCAACGTTAGCTTGAAATCTTAGTTTATCAGACTAACCTATCCTAAAATCACGCATGATCATTTTACGATCGAAATGGGTAGAACGCGGCATGCGCGCTCATAAAATATCCTACCAATGGTTTGGAACAGAGGAATGTTTATTTAGGCACTATATTAAACTCATTATACTATGATAGCGTGTTGGGAATTTTACTGTATATCTAAAAGATTTTATTCTATTATTCGTATTACTTAAATTTATAAAAATGTAGGTATTAAGAAAATTCATCAAATGAAATCAAGGCAAGACGCTGTCTAACGTTGAAAGCTCTCCGGAAACCCCGTTTGAAAAAAAAATCATAAAATTATTTATAATAATAGTAATTGTAACAGATAGTACACAGTCAGTTAAAATATTCCATGATTAATAACGTTGTTCAATAGGACGTATTCGAAAATATCTTGACATTTTACTTAGTGCTTGACACAACCAGGATATTTCAACTGATTTATTACTAAAATATATTAGCATAAAAATACCGTTTGTTTGTTTTTTTAAGTATTAAAATCATATTTACACCTTACCGCTGATAAACAATTCATTTATTTTTGTTTCGAGTATATCGAGAAAAAAATTTTTTTCCTCAATGAACCAGTTTTTTCAGTTGTCTACCACCATTGGTAACACGACCTTTTAGCCACCCATAGATATTCTAATAATACTTAATATTTTTTTTGTAAAAAATTTTGGAAACTGTAATTTGCTATGTGTACATAGGTATATGTATAAGATAAACAGTGTACTTTTTAAAAAGTCCTACTAGTTTTTTTTGTATTGCACAAGATAGGTAAACAATCTCACTCAGTCCACGTATCTTTCAGTAGTTCCCGGAGCTCATGGATGTCACAACTTTAATGCTCTTATAGGCTTTGAGACGTGAGGTCGCTGTCTCGATTTTGTCATTTATAGGTAATATTACAGTTCAGCCTGAGCGCAGGCAGGATGCTGCACTTGGGTTATAAATTTGAGGGTTAAATTTTGTCACAAGGTAATATTTTTGAAAATAAAAAAACAAATGTACTCGCATTTTTCGGATGAAGTGTACAGCATCCAGATTTTGAATTGCACATGCTTTTATAATTAACATATCTTGTTTTTATTGGCTCTGGACGAGCTGGGTTAAAGTGGCACTGGCACATCAACGGGTTCTCGACTTAAAACATGTGAGAACGATTTCCAGAAAATCTTTCAAGACGTTTACGAGTTCCAATTCGAAACATGCCACCGACGCGAAAAGGACATTCAGAAACATCCAATAATTTTAGCGGATAGCGTATGAAAATCATCATCATCAGCCTTTATCTGTCCACTGCTGGACATAGGTCTTCCCCAATGCCTTCCACAAAATGCGGTCCTGCGCCTTCCGCATCCAACGACTATTCGCCGTGCGCACTAAGTCGTCCGTCCACGGTAGATAGAAAAACAATACTCATTGCGTGTCTGTTTTTGTATTTGCCGAAGAAAAACAATATTCCGGCCAGAATGATAGCAAGTGGTGCCGCTACTTATAAACACTGGCAATGTCAGGGGGCACAATTTGATTTTGACGTTCCAGAGATAATGAAAATACTAGTCTACGATGTAAACTGGAATACTTTCTTTATTTTTATCGAAACAAGAAAATCCAACTAAAGTTAGAGTGCTTCTTCGAACAAGGTATAAAAAAGTGATGGCGGGCAGCCGCTTGTCTAAGTTCCTGTCATTACCAACGTTTCTGATTAATGCTAAAGATTCACATTCGGTTAGACCGTAAATTCGTGTCTACGTATGAAGAATTTAAACGAATAAAAACACAATTATCTTTAGTTCTTATTAGACCAGATTTATATCTTGGTTTCGAAGGCAGCCTAGTCAACTGCCCTCCTAATAGTTACCATCGCCCTTGGACACTGGCAATGTCAGGGGTACAGTCAAGTCGAAGCTGATTGAAGCAGGACATCTCAAACTCATGTTGCATCATCTCGCACAAATACTTTTGGTTATTTATCAGAAGACACATGTGCAATCCAGTGCCCAGTCGCCACAACTTCTACACAGACATCTTTACACAAAACTGTATTCCTCCCTACTATGTAGTCCCCTACTCTTCCTTTAAATACAGGACGTGCTGCAAGCCTTCAAGGAGCAGTATCATCTTTCTGCCCATTTCTAACTCAGAGCTTTTAGACGTCCCTGTTTGAGAGGCGGGATAGTAGTTGTTACTGTAGTCTGTAGTCTCAACAGGCATTACCATTTAATGTCAAGTATGAGCTGACCTATCCATCAAATGACAATTATTGAACCTTTGAAACATAGGTATACTAATGGGTTTTTAGTTTTAGTTTTTCTTCAGTTTTAGTTTTAATTATTCTTCATTTGAGTTTTGTACTAAAATAGGAGGGACAAAACCAATTTTAATATTAATGCTGAACAATGGGTAATTAAGGATTCGCAATTGAGAACGGAAACCGCTCAGCGTAGAGGTCTACGAAGTGCTACGGACACATCACTTGTACTTAGCAACTTGAAAGTGCCTACTCGAGTCATACGGAACCAACAAAGTCTACGTGTCTATGTGTTAATCATGTAACTCAGTAAAAACGTACGGCCCTGTCAGTCTATTCAATTACACTGGACATGTCTGGCTCCAGCGATCATGAACTAGATGTAACAGACATAATTCAATATTCAAGCAAACAATATTTTGAGATATTCAAAAACATGTTCTGGTCGGATGATATAACGATAAAATTAGATTAATTCATGTTTGTAAACATAAAGAAGTCAACTCGGGAGGATTAGTTCAAAGAGTTAGTAGAAGTTCATTGTTAAGTTCAGTCGGTTGGCGGCACCGACATCGGGTGCGCTGTGCCAGGGACCGACAGGAATCCACCAGGAAGTAACTGGACCAGGGCGCTATACTGGGTTCTGCCTTGGCGCCATTCGTTAGACCCTACACTACTAAGGGTTTCGCCAAATTTTTGGTCAAAACAAATAAAAGAGCGGCGCGGTGTTAAGACGGGCGTGTCTATAAAAGGTTGAGAGGGGGGTGCGCGGGGGTGGTAACACGATCCGCGAGCTCCAGGCAAGCGGCCGCCCTGGAGAGGGGAGCGCGAGGGGGCATCAGCGCGCGCGCCGCCCGCTCCCGCTCTCACTAGTCGAACGGTGCCCGACCGGTAACGTAGCGCCGACTGCCGACCGAGACACGAACACCGAACATGTCTGCCATGGCGAAGACTTCCAAGTACACCTACCGCAGCAGCGGCGGGGGCACCACCGACGTTAACATCGAGTACTCCGCCGACCTGAGTGCTCTCTCCAGGCTGGAGGTACCGGCCCTAAAACCGTTCAGTGCAGTGCTTGTGAAGTGTTTACGGACCCATCATAGAGTTATGTTGTATTTTTCAGGACAAGATTCGTCTCATCCAAGATGATCTGGAATCCGAAAGAGAGCTGCGTCAGAGGGTAAGCCGAGCGTGCGAAACGTGATATGTGCGTCGCAGCGACCAAACAGGGCGCGCACGCACCCGCCCCGCCCACATCGGTTACTCGCACACCACTATTAATACCGCCCGCCCTCCAACTTTTTGCACCCTTGTGCACTTTTACTTCCTTCATTTTAAATATACTCATTATTGTCATTAATTGTCCTTCATAGGATTTGCTATTAAAATTTCACATTAGATTTTTTAATCTTAATCATAATCAGATAACTTAATTATGCTCACCTAAAACTATACAGGTAAATAAATAGACCTTATAATTAAAAGTAACATTCATGTCCACCCGCTTACTCGTCATACGTTGTGTAACATCTCAAAGAGATATTACATGAACTGTAAAAGTAGCTATCCCTTAAGCGCTTTGAGTAATTGAACAAACTAACATCGGTGTTGATGCATCATAAAGTTCAATATCATCGATAAAATAATCCGCTATAATGGAGTGGGGTTCAACGAAAGCGTTCGATAGAGATTAGCATGTTCTATTTTAGTACCTATGCTGCATGCGACCAGGTAGTGTGAGCCGTGCGCCGTCGGACGGGTCGATTCGTCGACTCGTGGATCGCGCGCTACACCACTGCGATATATTTAGACATCTAGCGAAAGCATTCTCTCAAATCTCAACTTCTCGCTCTCAGGTCTCACTTTTGAAACTGGGCCAAATGATGCTCGTTCCCGTTGAGAATGCCACAATATTGAAATATATAATAATAGCCCGCGGTATGAGTGGCGAAAATATCCGAGTTAGTCAGAGCCGCCGTGAGACATGAAACGATTCTTATTTTAGACTTGTACAATGCTAAAATACGCGAAGGACGTTTTAATTCGTAATCGTTTGCATGCATCGTGAAGCAATAATGACGTTTTAGGGTCGAAATAACAATTAATTTACAACAATTATATTAAGGGATTGAACAACTTCACAAAACGGGTGCATGCAGGTGAAAATACAACTAAACACATTTATTGAAGATATTAACGGTCTTGATCTGTTGTAGATTGTTACAGAATCGAATTATTAATTGACAATTCCAGATTGAAAGAGAGAAGGCAGATTTGAGCGTGCAAGTGATTCAACTGTCTGAGAGGCTTGAGGAAGCTGAAGGCGGAGCCGAGAGCCAGGTACTCTTTTCCTATTCGATAAATTCTAGAATTTATTGTCATACACAATGATTAAACGAATGATCTAACGAAAAATATTTCTGAAACTTTAATTTCTATGCATGCTTAGTTTTATCCAAGGTTAAAACCAGAACAGAATTTAGATGTTCATTAAAACAAACTTCAAATTTTAACTTTTAATTTTTTTTTGTATTAATAAATACAACGTTTATTTTTTTATTATACTATATTATTTCTATTCTTTCTTGTGGAAAACAAACGTTTTTTAAACTTAAACGTTTTTTTTTTAAATATTATCTACTCTATTGTTTTCTGTTTTGCAAAATAAAAAGTAAGTGTTCACATTCCTTTTGACTTTGGGACTACTTTATAATTGTAATACGCGGCTTTCAGTTCGAGATCAACAGAAAGCGTGACACCGAACTCCTCAAGCTACGCAAACTACTGGAAGATGTCCATTTGGAGTCAGAAGAGACCGCCCATCTGCTCAAGAAGAAGAACCAAGAGATCGTAATCGACTTCCAGGAACAAATCGACCAGCTTACCAAAACTAAAGCCAGGTGAGCAGACACCCCAGTAATCGTGAACGTAATTCTTGCTATCTTCACTAACAGAATTCTGTGTCATTCATTCTTTAGACCTAAGATCTGCCATGCGAACGTTGCGAATAGCTTTGCGTCTCTAAAACTCCTATGTATCAATAATTAGTGATGTAATTAGTGGATTTTCTTCATCACACTTTTTTCGGATGTTTTAATTACGTGTGATGTAACGGCGCCAAATTTTCCTTGTCCTCAGGGCTGAGAAGGAGAAGTCCAAGTTCCAAGCTGAAGTTTACGAGCTGTTGGCCCAAGTCGAGAACGTGACCAAGGAGAAGATCACCATCTCCAAGACATGCGAGAGGCTCGAGATCACCATCAGCGAACTCCACATCAAAATCGAGGAACTGAACCGCACCATTGTGGACATCACTTCCCACAAGCAGCGTCTGTCCCAAGAGAACATCGAGCTCGTTAAGGAAGTTCAGGACCTCAAGGTGAATTCACTAAATCATTTATTTGCTTGTTACATAATCTCTCAAACGAAGCCAAACATTCTTATCGTGTTCTTATACATATTAAAGGATCTTGCTTAAAATTTCAGGTCAACATTGAGAACGTAGTTTACCTGAAGAGTCAGATCGCCAGTCAACTCGAAGACTCACGCCGCAGGCTTGAGGATGAGGAGAGAAGGCGCTCTCTGCTTGAGGCCAGCCTGCACCAGGTAACCTTGAAAACTACACAAATATGTTTATCTTAAATTTAGTCACATAAGCCAATAATGTTTTATTCTTCTTATGTTTGTTACTTGTAGGTTGAGATCGATTTGGAATCCGTTCGCGTCCAACTGGAAGAGGAGTCCGAAGCTCGTCTGGACCTCGAACGTCAGCTGGTCAAGGCTAACGGTGAGATCGGACACTGGCGCTCCAAGTTTGAGGCAGAGGCTGCTGCCAGGGCTGAGGAAATCGAGGAAATCCGTCGCAAGTACTCCATCCGCATCCAGGAACAGGAGGAGCAAATCGAGACCCTCATCGCGAAAATCAACAACGTTGAAAAACAGAAGTCTCGTCTGCAGAGCGAGGTAACAAGCTTATCCACTAAATTAACGTAATGTTTTTTGAAAATATTGTGCATAATTTTTAAACTTATTAAGTAACAAGCCGTAGGTACTCGCCCGCTTCGCTGGGAATTTAAAGTTAACATTATTATTTATTGTCATTATTATTAGGGAGTCCAACACTCATATAAATATTAGCATATCCATTAAGTACATGTATTTTCTACATGTATACCAAGTTTCAAGTCAATCGGATGCATGGTTCAGTAGTTACAACGGAACATCCGTTAAAACCACTGTAGATTTATATTTTAGTACTAGCTAACCCGGCAGACTTCGTAGTGCCTCAATCGATAAATAAAATACCTAAACTTTTATATAAAATAAACTTAAAACAAACAAAAGGAATCCGTCCGATGAGGGACACTTAAAAGGAAAAACAAAATTGTTATTTTTATTTAATTCCAAGCATTTTCATATTTATTTACCTTTTAAACCTTCTCTGGACTTCCACAAATAATTCAAGACCAAAATTAGCCAAATCGGTCCAGCCGTTCTCGAGTTTTAGCGAGACTAACGAACAGCAATTCATTTTTATATATATAGATAGAAGATGGATTTGTCATTTTCAAACGTCTATCGTTTTTATGTAGATAATTTGAAATGCTAAAACAAAACAGGTCGAAGTCCTCATCATCGACTTGGAGAAGGCAAACGGTACTGCTCGGGAGCTTCAGAAGAGGACCGAGCAGCTGGAGCGCGTCAACATCGAGATCAAGTCCCGTCTCGAGGAGACCGTGCAGTTGTACGAGCAAACCCAGCGCGACCTGCGCAACAAACAAACAGAACTCCAGCGCGTCTCCCACGAACTCGACAAGACCCGCGAACAGAAAGACGCCCTCGCCCGCGAAAACAAGAAAATGGGTGGTAAGTTGACGTTCCGATTCAGATACACACATCAAACCCATCTTCATTTGTTTTCATTATTCCTGTGCAGTCGAAATTTTGACATTTCATAAAGTAGCATAATGAAATCGTTTCGACTACTGCTAAAATTATTTAGCAAATATTATATATATATAAAATTATTTACCCGGCTTTCGAGATAGCTATAATTAGCTAACTCGAAAGCCGGGTAATCACGATACATCACTATGGCACTACCATTGACAGAATGTTGCAACATTCCTTAGACGTATAAGACCTGCTATGCGAACGTTATGCGAAGAGCTGTGCGTTACTACAACTACTGTGTTTAATCATTTAAATTTTTTAATCATTATTTTTAGGATTGTTTTTAATCATTTTCTGAGAAAGGAGGTTCATTTCAGTACAAGTGATAGTTTTCTTTTTGCCTATACAGGCAGGTGGACAACTTATTGTCATTGTTTCAATTAACGCTGCACTGAAATTTAACTTTGAAGTTTTGTTTTAATTCTACTCAATTCACACGTTTTGTGATATTATGTAATTTGTAATTTGTGTAAAATGACTCAGCACAGTAAGTTTGTACATCTATCATGAATTTACCGTTTGAAAAATACCCATTTGTGATACTCATGTACATATGTACATACGCTAAAGTCGACCAATATTAATTTCCTGAGTAAAAGTGTATTATAACAACATTCTTTTGGTATGATAATTTGTGTTGTATATATAAATTAAACCTTATTACATACTGTAATACGGAGTGAATCAATTCTTTATTTTTTGCGTCATTTTGACATCTGATATTTTTGTCCAGCGGTTTGGTCCTTATCTCCAAGGTTATTTTCGTCCGAATCATCGTTGACAATCAGTTCTCCAGGACTCGCGGGCTATTGGACTAGCACGAAAGAACTTTTGTGTTAAATTTATCTCATTCAAAGCGAAGACTTTAGGAATATGAAATATGCGTCACCAGAATCTACAAATGTCTATAATTCTTCCACGGTCCAGGACTCTGCGTTGTACAACAAAATAAACAAGTATACCAAAATTCGAATTATCTACGTTTTGAAGGGGGGTAAAAATCATGTTCAAAGAGATTCCGTTACAAACATACAATACGTCTGAAGCTAATAAAAGCGTATTAAAAAGCGAGGTTTGTTGCTGAAATGAATTATTGACACATTCATTTGTGACACAGATGACTTGCATGATGCTCGCGCGAACATCACCGAGTTGAACCGCCGTCTCCACGAGCTCGAAATCGAGTTGCGCCGTCTTGAGAACGAGCGAGAGGAACTCACTGCCGCCTACAAGGAGGCCGAAGCTGTACGTATAAACTGTATCTATATATTAATGCGACTAAAAAAGGGTGCGTGTACTTATGTACGCGCGTAAGAAGGTATACCTTATTTTTATTAAATTTATTTCTTCTTTTTTTTATTTAACTTTTAATCAATTTGAAAAAAAATCGATTAAACAACATCCTCAAACACGCATATTGGACATCCCTATTCTTGACATCGTATAAATTCGGTAATTCTCGGTACGGTTCGGAAATTTCACCTGCGGCTATATTCAGACTCGCCAAGTTACGTCGGTCGTATTGTAATGAGCGATTTAGTGGGCAACTTCATTCTGTTAATTTTGTGTCATGGTGCGCGCGCATCGTAAAATTTCACTCTCATCAATTTTTCATAACGCGCCTAAAGAAGTATAACTTCAATAATCTTTTACTTAGACCACATCACGTCCAAGGATTTACTGAAAGGAGATTGATTAATAGTAACGAAAACTCAAAATAGTTATCCCGAAAACGATTTATGACAGAGCGTATCTCAAAATCAAACCAAAAAAAATAACATACTCGGAGTAGTTTTTTCAGCGGTCTTATTTTAAGTTATGTGTTCTATTTTTGATTCTCGCGAAGATAATTCTCAATTACTTTTCTTTCGTTCGAAATAGGACTAAAATAAGATGTGTATTTATATTGATAAAGATGGTAATTGCATTAATTAATATTTGTTATATTTGACTTTTTTACGCCACGGTACCCTCTATTGATAACTGATTGGTTAGTTTAATTGCTTAACGAACATTTTATTTTATTTTAATCAAAGCACCGCACCATCCTAGCTACATAATATTTCGCCGTCATGGAACCACGCTTTCTGTTTTGAAGGGTCAATTGTTTAAACAATACAATTTACACTTGGTTCTCCATAACCACCAATGGGCCAAAAACTTGTCTACTTATCTCTAGAAGTTCTATTCCGAGTATTCCCAGACGAGCTTTGAATTTTTCGAGATTCGATCAGTTGATGACAATGAGGTAATTGAATATAACAGATATTTAAAAGCAAATCAATGAATTTGACGGCAATAATTAGGCGGTTGCTGATGGTGTATTTAACTAAACTTTTGGCAGACGTTCAGATGGCAAACAGTACCGTACTTGTGACGTCTCTATAATATAAATAGAAAAGGGGACGGACGCTACTGCATATCTTATTCTATGTTTGCGTAACAATGTACCTAAATATATTATGACATTTGTCGTTCTGAGTGCTTGACTAATAAATACTAGTTTAAAAAAACTAACAAAATACGCTTTTATATAAAATCCAACTAATAAATAGAAAATAATTAGCAGTAGGCAGCGGCTTGGCTCTGCTCCTGGCATTGCTGAAGTCCATAGGCGACGGTAACCACTTACCATCAGGTGGGCCGTACGCTCGGCTGCCTACACAGGCAATAAAAAAATATTTTTTTTAAGAAATTTGAATTAAAAATGTCGTAAGAAAACATGATTTTATTGTAAAAAAAGCGTGGGGTGCTTCTCAGGATATTATCAAAATAACCCTTCTACTCATATCTGTTCATAACATATTTACTACTGATACCATGCGCCCCACGATTTTTTAACAATAAAATCATTTTTTCTTACACTATTTTTAATTCAAATTTATTATAATTTAGTTTCTATACTTTAGTTGGATTTTATATAAAAGCGTATTTTGTTAGCATTTTTTAAACTATTATTTATTTTTCATTTTATAGTAGAATTTCAATTATTTCAATTTTTATTTTTATTTTTTTTAGTATTGAATTGTCATAGGTCCTTAATAAGTATATCAAATTTCGAATTAATCCGACGTTTTGAAGGGACTCAAAATCATGTTCAAAGATTCCGTTACAAACATACATAAATACGTCTGAAGCTACTAAAAGCGTATTAAAATGTCATTCGCTACGAGCAGATAGAATGTATTCGCAAATGGCATTATCATATTTGTTAATTACATATTTATCAATGTCGAAAATAATTAATTGTCCAATTCACGAGTTTCTTATCGACTGAAGAAAAGAAAAAACATTTCAATGGTAATTGAGCTTAAGCTTAGGATTATGTCCTGTTTTATTGACGCCGGAAAAAAGACCTATAAGACAAACAAAGGTGGATTCTGACTATGAGAGCTAAACATTTTTAATAATGACCGACCAAAATTCGAACTATTTGAATCCATCGATCATTTGTCAGGCTCGCGAACCACCACACCAACGAAGCAATCGAGCGATATGTAATCTTATAACACATTCGTCATGACTTAAGGAGTATTCAATGAATTGTATACATCACTAAGCTATATCGAGAGGTAAAGGCCTAAGAGAACCTTTCAGTTTTACAGAAGAAACCTATGAAATTGAATATAAAATAATTAAATATGATATGATATTCTACATTAAAATTATCTAACTTACTTGTAATTATCCTATAATAATACTAATTAAATAAATATGAATACAGGTATATTTTAATTTTTAATGTAAATTCTAAGTCAAAGAAGCCATTTGGCAAATTCATTTAGAAAAAAAAACGGGTCATGTCTGGATATAGTTGTTAAAGTAAAATCGTTAAATGAAATCGCGCTATACATAGGTATTAGATAGACTATTCAAATAAAATTAATTATAAGTGAAAATTATTTATAAGTACAATAACGTCTGCGATTTTACAGCTATCACGGAAAACTACTGGAAAAAATCGGTTGTAAAAGTGGTTATCCTCCTTAGACTCACCAGGTCGTGTCTAAAGAAAAATGATCACGATAACTTCGTTTAATGTTATATAAGATTTATTGGTGTTTAAAATATTAGGCGAGTTTACATTACCACTCGATCAACGTTGTTATTAGTTCTCTGAGTCCCGCTATTAGTGTAAGTCCACGCATACTAAGTCGCGGGCACTCCCAGTGTGGTCTATCCTAACGATACCTTTGCACCTGTTGTTAGTATCCGATTTTAAAATCATTCTTATTCAAACATTATATCTAATCTAACATCGAATATAATAAAGGAAATATTTCTTGTTTTGTTTAATTATAATGAACCATTACTTTGGAACAACAGGGCCGCAAGGCTGAGGAACAGCGCTCACAGAGATTGACGGCTGAGTTCGGCCAGTTCCGTCATGAGGCTGAGCGTCGTCTGCAAGAGAAGGAAGAAGAAATCGAAGCCATCCGGTAATTTAACATTATGCACTAACCTTTAGCTCTTCAAATTTGTCCGTGTGTCATCTAGGCTTCGAATATGGATACCTACTCTGTATCCGTTTGTTTTTCAATCCTAAATATAGACTTTTCATTCGAATTCGATTGCGGCGTGAAATAATACAAAAGTTCCTAAAAATTGTTTCAAAAATATTACATTATTAATTCAATTTTAACTTGACGAGCACTGCCGCAAAACAATATTGAGAAGAAATCAATTCTAACAAAATGTTTACGTTTACGATTCTCGAAGCAGACTAAACAAAGGCTGAGTGTGTACTCCGGCGACCGCCAACTCGGAACTACCAGCCCGATTTATCTTTCACCACCAAAGCCCCACTCCTTCCTACCGTTGACTGACGGCTGTCATTCGAACATTTGACCCGTGAGCACCGAAAATCCTCAACCGTGACACAATTGCATCATGGATCTCAGCCAAACACGGGTTTATGCAATGCCATTTTGTGTAATCTTGAAGAATAACCACTTCACAAATCCAGCCCAGCTCGGCAAATTATTCTGAACCCTGACTCACAGGTGCAATGTATAAAAATAAATATCATCTATTTCCGATACATCACAATTGAGATTGGAACGATAACATAAATTACTTTTGAATTGCAGATTATTGGCACGATCTTACTTTATTTATAACTATTCACTTGATTGGTGAATATTACCGTCGACACCATATGCTTTTTGGCACAATAATACTTGCGAAAGTGTACAAAAGTCCGTGCTTGTTTCTCGCGCCCCCAATTTAGCGACCTCGGTCGCTGTCGAAGCATGTCGGGATGACCGATTAAGCGTTCAATTTTGCTCTTCGCTGTGTATAAATCTTTCATCGCCGCAATGCCGCCCGTCCACGTGCCCAACTACAATAAATGGAACAGACCCCCCACCGCTGTCTACGAAGATAATTATGGCTACGGTATAAATTTCTATCAACCAATGATTGACTACATCTCAGCCAAAGAGCACGGAGTCGCCGCTAAACCACCACACTTGCCGTGGAATAACGAGAGGGCTTTAGATAAATACAGATTTAATAAGCCGATCCGTGCGTATTCGGAAGAGGATCTCACTCGGATCTCGCATGATATTGCTGAGCAGGCCAAACGAGATCTGAATACGTTTACCGTGGGCAAACGCTCGCCCTTTTCAGTGATAGCCACAGCCGCGGCCGCGAATGTCACAAAACACGTAGGCGTTGAAAGCGTTACAGTAAAAGCAAAGAAGAAAAAAATGGAAAGAGAAAAGTATAAAGCTGAACGTCAGAAAAAGAGAATGCAAGAAATAGAAAAAGAACTTGACCTTTACGAAAAAGAAGTCAACTTGGGTTCAGAGCTGAGACAAAAAGCAGCAATGTATAGAGGAAAATCAGCAAAAGCTATCGCGCAAACTCTATTAGAAGAAAGTAGAAGGAATGTTCAAAATGAAAGAATGTACAAGCCTGACTTCCAGGCTTCAAGGACTTTGGTTAATCGAGATTACACGAATTTGTCCAAAAATGTATTAGCAAAAGCTTTAATGGAATCTAAGGCGATGAACTCGTGCGACAGTCGGGTCACAGAATCCATAACAGAAACGGTGAGAGTACGTGAAACTTCACCTACAACTTGCGTAGTAAGAATAAATACTGAGCTCCCGGCAATCGATAACTCGTACCTGAATCAATTAAACGAATTAAAAGAAACCGTGAAGCAGTTTGATGATCTGAGTGTGTACATTCTAAATGATAGCAGGTGGGACTTAAATAAGTTGGGTGTTCATGTATTATGTAATACTAATTTCTAACAAGTTACAGTTGTGTATTGGTGAGAGATCACTTCGATAAAGCGGCACGACATGAGAACCCTCTCATCGTGGCCGCCGGTAACTACATTCGCGATCCTGCGGAAAGAATGGAAAGCAGTCGCCCCAAACACGTCATTTCGGATCCTCCCGATCCACTAACGATTCTTTTAGGTACCTCAAGCACCGGTCATCGTTCTTGTCGAACCCGTCGCTTGCGACGAAGGGCTCGACGAGTAAATTAACCCTCAGACACAGCCCACTGAGTTTCTCGCCGGATCTTCTCAGTGGGTCGCGTTTCCGATCCGGTGGTAGATTCTGCGAAGCATGGCTCTTGCTAGGGTTCGTGTTAGCAACGTCATTAGGTTTGAGCCCCGAGAGCTCACCTACTAGTTAAGGTTCCGCTGATATAGCTTCTCAAGGGTATCAGCTTAGGTAAGAAAAAATAAAAAAGGTGTGAGTATATAAATTGATGTTTTCGTTTAAAGCAAGCAGACAAGCATCGAAATCGAACAGCTGAACGCTCGCGTCGTGGAAGCCGAGACTAAATTGAAGTCTGAAGTCACACGCATCAAGAAGAAGTTGCAAATCCAGATTACTGAACTGGAACTCTCTCTTGATGTGGCCAACAAGACCAACATTGACCTCCAGAAGACCATCAAGAAGCAGTCTCTGCAGGTATAATAGTTTTTACATAATAAAGTTCCTAAAATTTCGTTACTTTCCTGATTTTGACCTAATCGGCTTAGGATTTTTCGTGTTTTCCGCTCGAAAATCTATACAAAACAGGAAACAAAAGACTTTACAAACACATGATATGTTTTGATTGATATTAAATATCCAAATTAATTATTACAGCTTACTGAGATCCAGACCCACTACGATGAGGTCCAGAGGCAGTTGCAGGTGACTCTCGACCAGTACGGAGTCGCCCAGCGCAGGATACAGTCACTCACCGGAGAGGTTGAGGAGATTCGTGGCAACTACGAGCAGGTAAAATAAAAATATCAACCAAATATTATTGATACCATTCAAACTTATTTTTTATCTACTAGATTCGCTTCAGCACGTATTCATCCCTTTTAATCATATAACAAGTGAATTTTCATAAAATACGACCCTTATGGTCGTATCAGCCATATGGGATACAGCGATTACCAGATTAAATAAATACTTATGGAAATCAAAGTTTAAGGTTTTGATAATGGCTGTGCAAATCTTAAAACCGTTTTGAGTTCTATTTTTTACGATATCCATGCGTATGATGACTCCTTAGGAGTCGTACTCACAAAATAAAATAGTGTACCTAGATCGAGAAAGAGCATTAATAGCTTAAATAGACCAAGGTAACATAGATACAGAATAAAGGAAGAGAATAGAAGTTTTTTTTTTCCTTCCTATGCTGATAGCCTTGAGAGGCTACTTCAGCTTCACCCTAACGTGTAGGTGAGCTCACGGGGCTCAAACCGGAGTGATGCTAACACTGGCCCTAGCAAGAGCAGCGCTTCGATCAGAAACGCAACCTACTGAGAAGATCCGGCGAGAAACTCAGTGGGCTGTGTCTATGGGTTAATTCGCTCGTCGAGCCCTTCGTCGCAAGCGACAGGTTCGACGAGGACGGTAACCGGAGAATAGAAGGCAGAAGGGACACTATATATCTGTTTGTTTTACTAGTAATTGATATTCATGGTTTATTGCTGTGTTACCTACATAGAAAAAAAATTGATGAGAATTGTATCATCAGGCCCTACGCGTTAAGCGCTCAGTCGAGCAGCAATACGAGGAATCTCAGACTCGCGTCAACGAGCTGACTGTTATCAACGTGAACCTGTCAAGCAGCAAGGCTAAGATAGAACAGGAACTGGCTATCGTCGCCGCCGACTACGATGAGATCACCAAGGAACTCCGCATCGCCGATGAGAGATACCAGCGCGTACAGGTACACATCTAGTACATTATTTCATACTTAGTGTAATACTCACTTAATACTTTTACTGGTGGTAGGACCTCTTGTGAGTCCGCGCGGATAGGTACAACCACCCTGCCTATTTCTCCCGTGAAGCAATAATGCGTTTCGATTTGAAGGGTGGGGCAGCCGTTGTAACTATACTGAGACCTCAGAACTCATATCTCAAGGTCAGTGGCTAATTTACGTTGTAGATGTCTATAGGCTCCACTAACCACTTAACACCAGGTAGGCTGTGAGCTCGTCCACCCATCTAAGCAATAAAAAAAAAACTCAGCTTGTGTCGAAAACGCCTCAACCCCGTCAAGTCAATAGCGTCTTGTAAGTTCTACGACTTACCAAGTCGAAACCTTTGAATCAATGAAATCAAGTTTTACTTGGTGCTTACTACTACTCAAACAACAAACAAACATCCAATAAAACTTGAAGGAAAAACATTAGAATTCGTAAACAAATACATATATCTAGGAAAAGAAATATCATTTGAAGACAGAAGCGAAGAAGAAGAGGTACAACGTAGAATAAATATGAGTTGGAAAAAATATTGGTCACTCAAAGAGATAATGAAAGGAGACTATCCACTCCACCTGAAGAAAACAGTTATGGATACATGCATCTTACCAACTCTCACATATGGTTGCCAATCGTGGACTTTCAACACCACCATAAAAACAAAAATGGTTAATTGCCAGAAAGCTATGGAAAGAAGCATTCTAAAAATAAAAATAAAAGATAAAGTAAGAAGTGAATTTATACGAAAAAAGACAAAATTAATTGATGTCCTAAACTTCAGTAAAAGATTAAAGTGGCGATGGGCTGGCCACGTAGCACGCTACAGTGACAAACGATGGACAATTGAAGTGACAAAATGGAAAGGGCCTAATGGGAAAAGAAGGAAAGGACGACCTATGAAACGATGGAGTGATGATATCATAGTCACCGCTGGGAAGGAGTGGATGAGGCAGGCTCGGAACAGAGAAAATTGGATTAAGCTGGAGGAGGCCTATACCCAAATAGGGGTTCCTGTCGAGGAAAATTGAACGGCAATGTAATTGGATCTGAATGTGGGAGTTATATATGGTTGAGAATATTTACATGTAATATTTAGGTGATGGGAAATAAAAGGCTTATTATTATTATTATTATTATTACTACTACTAGTGAACCCGCTAGGGTGAGTGCCTATTTTGTGCGTGAAGCAGTAATGCGTTTCAGTTTACGTTGTAGATGTCTATGGGGCTCCAGTTAAAATTTTACAGCAGGTGGGCCATGAGACCTTCCACTCGTCTAAGCATTAAAAAGAAACCTAAAAGCATTCATATTTTAAAGCAAATTAGAAGTTAGTTTTTCGCGAAATGGTATGGTTCGGCAAGGTTGCAGTATGGTTGCCAGATTTTCCATACTCGGTCCAAATGTCCAAAATTATCAAATGTACGAAATACACAACAACAAAAATAAGGAGGTATATTTTAAAAAACATACATTTTTACATTATCACCTTCATGTATGGAATCAGACAATAATAGCAAATTGTAAATGATCTTGCCCTATAATTTCCAGACTGAGCTGAAACACACTGTCGAGCATCTGCATGAGGAACAGGAGAGGATCGTCAAGATCGAGGCCGTCAAGAAGTCTCTTGAAATCGAAGTCAAGGTAAGCTGACGAATACCACTTAGTCGTCGTTTCAAATAACCAAATTAGCCAGCAGAAATAGAAAAGCAAAGGGAGATGAAATTTACACAATTTTTCATGCTTGTGTAGAACATCTCTGTCCGTCTGGAAGAAGTCGAAGCCAACGCTATTGTTGGTGGCAAGCGTATCATCAGCAAGCTCGAGGCTCGCATCAAGGACATGGAGCTGGAGCTGGACGAAGAGAAGAGGAGACACGCTGAAACCATCAAGATCCTCCGCAAGAAGGAGCGTCAACTTAAGGAGGTCATCATTCAGTGCGAGGAGGATCAGAAGAACATCTCTCTCCTCCAAGATTCTTTGGAGAAAACCTCCCAGAAAGTCAGCATCTACAAAAGGCAGTTGGCTGAACAAGTAAGTGAAACGTGAAGTCTTCAGTCGGTTTTATTTCTTTGTTATTTTTACGTTTACTAATGTATGTATTAATGCGCACTACAGGAGGGCATGTCGCAGCAGAGCGTGACCCGTGTCCGACGATTCCAGCGTGAATTGGAAGCCGCCGAAGACCGCGCCGACGTCGCCGAGAGTAACCTCTCCCTCATCCGCGCCAAGCACCGCACTTTCGTCACCACCTCCACTGTCCCCGGCTCCCAGGTCTATCTGGTCCAGGAGTCCCGCGCCCTCAGCAGTGAGCGCTTGTGAACACGCTAACTAACATCGCAACCGCAAAGCAAGCGCCCCACGCACACCCCGCCACAGCATTTCTCTCATCAGTCAATAAGGGGGCGTAATTCCGGTCGGGTATAAGCCTAGTCGTTCGTTAAGTGATTAAATGTATTGATAGATGGCGCTACTATTCTTTCGGGTTCAATAACGCCATCTGTTGTTTTGTGCTCTGAGTAGGGACGGGCGCTCGGCGCGACGGCTCGCCCTAACGTTGCCGTGTCTCCACACTGGCCAAACGCCGACCGCTCGTCCCGCTTACATTTTATAAATTATTATGTAATACTAATTCAACCAAATAAAGGAACCAAAAATATTTAAGCTTTTTTTTTTTCAATATTTTTCTATTGTAAGGCCACCGGAACGATTGACTACGATGTCGCTATGTACCGTACTATAGGTGGGTACCTACAGTAGTCTAAAGTAAATAACTATTTTATATTACTATTTATTAATGGTGCATTGCGTATTGTACGTTTGTAACTGTAACTTTTATTAAATAAAAATAAATGCTATTTATGTTAAACAAACAAAAAAAAGCAATAAAACTTCAAAAAGTACATTGAACTTTTTTTTCGACATTACCAGATTAATCGCCACGATAACCTTTAATTATGTTGCAAACATTTTTCGAACGTTTTAATGTCTCGGATCGGAATTGAAAACGGTGACCATAAATGGATTTTTAAATAAAATGGTTAAATAAATTAATTGAAACGAAAATATTGGATTTAGAGCCTATTTCCAAATTCAATATCATTTTATTTTTTAATAGTCAACTTTAAATCACACAAAATACATCGTACATAACATAGGTGCTTGTAAAATTGTCTTCAAATGAATTACTACTATATTAATATTGTGGCTGTGCTCGCTGTGCTTCCCGTGATACCATATTAAGAAGCAAGATCTGAGAGTATGGCGTTACATACCCGGGTAAATCTTTCACGTTGCGATAGGCTCTGTCTCCATAGATCCCCTTGCCGCAAAAATCGCCATCAATAGCTTATATATTGTAAAAAATTGTTATGGTAGCTCTTAGCTGAAGCAAGCCTTTTATTCATTTCTCACGATCTATACGATTAAATGACTTATGATCATCAAATTATTCTAGGTCTATAAATAATTAAATTCTATATTAAAATAAAAATGTTTATCTTTTCTAATAAATCAATCAATATGTTTCACAACGGTTTTGAATTTTAGAGCTTAATTATAAATAAATACAAAATAGTAATAGACATTTCGCATAAATACCAATTGAATTATTAAATCCACTCACTGATTTTGGAAATTGTGTCGATAGCCTATTTATAATATATGAAATACAAACACAATGCCCACTTTTACGTGAAGGTAAGCTGTGTTGTAGCTGGCACGGATAGGAAACACCGTCCTTTTCAATATATTTTTTTTTTTATTAAAATAGGAAGTCTATGGGGCCTCCCAAATATTCATGAATTCCATGAATGAATTCCGAATAACAATCGATTCGTATTCAAAATACAGTTTTAGCAACGAGATGATTCGGCAAGAAGCTCTGGACTTACTCCCATCAAAATAAATCTAGGTACATTAACACAAGCTATTAAAAAAATCCATAATTATTGGCAGATATAAACAGACTATGGCCGAAAGGAACGGGTTTTCGTAATCACTAGTCGCTGGCTGTAAATCAGACCAATACACAGGATTGCCACGCGGCAAATGTACACCTTTTTGAATAATTTAAATTTATTTTAGTCAGTGGTTGCGGTACTTTTCTATTTAAAGAGATACGGAAACGATAAATGAAATGAAAGTCTCCCTCACAATGCTAATTACAAAAATAAGGCGAAGAAAAATAGAAATAGGCTAATGTCTTTTCAGAGTTGTTTGTTCCAAAAATCATTTCAGCTTCAAAAACAAGTCATTTTAAAATTAAAATTAAGATATTAATGTTCTGCACGCCATTAGCTATATCTATGCGTGCTGTCATTAACAAAAAAAGCTAATCTTGTGCTGTGAATGACAAATTTGAACAATTTTGGCAAAAAATTTTAAACCTGAATTTACATTAAAATTTGCTACAATGTTCAGCCGTACAAGACGTGACGAGAAATATACCGAATGTCACATGATTTAACCAATAAGACAAGTCGTTCAAGAACTATGAGGGAACAGGTGAAAGTGTCCACTGTGTACTAAAATTAATTGCGATCCTACTTTAAGTTTGACGTCATCACAAGCATAAAGCGATTATTCACAGTTGACCATCGTGCTCTCTCGTGGTCCACCTTAGGATCGGCTTGTTTATTCTCGTCGAATTCTGTTCATTTGGCCCTAGTAACCATTACACAGGGTTGTCACTTTCCTTTGGTAGATAAACTATCTTTTGGACACGTATGGTATACCCAACGCGTATAATACCTGTAAATAATAATAATAATGTAAATAGTTATTCCTATTTCTTCAATCATGACTTTTTTGGTCAAAATAATAATACATATACTCTATAGCAAATCAATGTAGGTAAAAACTTAAAGATCCTGTAGATACTAGGACAGCTTAGGACACTAGGACAACACTAGGTCATCATCATCATTACCCTATAGATGATACACAGATTGACTCATGTTAATTTACGTATGGAACGTAAAATTACGTATTTATAGATATTTTTTTTCGAAATCGACTGCGCAATTATAACAACAAAAAAATCATTGCGGAATGCAATTTTATCGAAATATGCGTTTGCCGACAGTGGACCCTTTCTCCCTATCTAATCACTGTTAGCCCCGAGGCGCTTTTCCGATTTCACGGTTTGGAAGATGAATCTACTATCGGATTAAAATTGCGGGTTGCAATGAGAAGATTTTTTAATGATTGAAGTACTATTGGTGGCCCGGAAGCCTTTCCAGTTCCACCAGAACAGGTGGGCGAGCAAAGGCTCAGCCAAGAGGAGTGGGATTTGCTAACAGCTGTCCGAGCGCTTATGAAGAACTCAAGCAGCTGCTTCGCGAATAAATCTACTACGGGATCGGAATCGCGACCCGCTGAGAAGATCCGGCGAGAAACTCAGCGGGCTGATGCATGGGTTAGGTTGCACGTCGAACACTGATCCAGCGAGAAGCTTAGTGGGTTGTGTCTATGGGTAAAACTGCACAAACGGTGACTGGAACATTCGTGCGTGCTCGTCGTGTGTTTTGGTACAGAAAACTAGTAGGTATAATATAGACTAACAACTGATTATTCTTTGTAGTAGTTCTGACTTTCTCAACTAGATGGCGGTGTGCGGGGCTTTGCTCATGATAAGAGCTTCATATAATATGGATGAAGCAAAAACTTTGTACCTCATTTTACGAAAATTGTGCGGACGGAGGAGTATGAAATTTCCCACACTTATAGAGAATAAAGAGAAGGAGTGCAGAATGCTAATATATTTTTAAAATTATGCATAAAAATAGATTAAAGCAATAAAAATAAAAAACATTACACACCCTACCATTTATTAGACACACACGCATTTATACTCTTTTGTTTATTATTAGTCTGTGGTCTAATAATTAATTCATCTACTAGATCATCTGCTTTGTTTTGTAGGTCATTTATAGGTTCTAGGATCATTCGTAAAAGGTTTATTTGGTCCGTGCATGAATGTCCTGGTCTCTAAACCTTGCCTGCTCCTCTCTGAGCTCACTGTCAATAACTTTGGCCATCCTCATCAGTAAGATTTTGCAGAGAGCTTTTGAACAAATTGGTAGCAGGTTTATATACCCGTCCAGTTGGCACACAAGGAAAGGTCCCCCTTTTTTGGTAACTTGACGATAACGCCTTCTTTCCACGATGCTCCTCATCCTCCTCATCCTCCTCAGCATCCTCATCCTGCTCTCAAATACGTGATAACAGCGGATGTAGAATCTGGGTAGTGAGATTAACATCTGCCTTCAGTTCTTCAGCCGTAATGCCATCGCCACCGGGAGCGTTGCCAGATTTCAGAGATGTGATTGCCTTTATAATCTCGGTTAAATTAACAAACCGGACTGCATATTAGTAACACAGCTAAATTGTATACATTAATGTACATAAACACTTGTTAAATAGTATAACTATTCTTTGGTTAATTAAATTAAATTAAATTAAATATAATCAATATTATGTATCTATTATAGTTTTACATAGATAATATTATTATATTTGTGTGACGTAAAAATCCAGTTACGCAACAGATTTCTTAATAATTTGTGGTGATTGTATCCTTATAATAACAACGTCTTTCTTACTCCGCTACACTAGCTAAATCCAGATTTACCAACTATAATTACATCGACAGTGTTGACTATAAGCAATACATGCCTTACGCCTAAATTATCGGATGCACTAAGATAAACTACACAATATGTTTTGTTTTATCTAGAGTCTGTAATTATTATGGTATATAACAGTATCTGGGCAGTGTCAATAGCCGATAATGAAAATGTTCTCTACAAAGATCATAACACAGAATTATACATTCAGGTTGTCACAGATCAGAGTTCGGGAGCATTGACTTGATTTTGAATTTCTGAGACAAAACAAGAATTTAAAATAAACCACCCAAATAAATAATTGAAAGTCTAATCGCACACGAAGAAGAATAGATTAGTTGTGAGACTGGTTTGAATAAATTTATTATTTTAAAACGAATTAGTTCGATAAATAACACACGTTACTGGGAAAAAACACACTAACAAAACGAATTATTGTAAGTGATAGTCAATGTAATTTTTTTTGTTATTTTCTTATTTTTTGTTATATTAATGGACTAATTTTATAATAAATTGATGTTTTTTCTAATTGTCTAACAACTTACAGGAAAAATCTGTAGCGGATCATTTCCCAATTAAATATAAATTAATCCTAAGCAAGCAATCAAATGTAATCAAATCTTAGTTATACATTTTTTTTGTTGCTAATGCACTGTATATTGCACCTATAATTGAGGTGACATCTGCCTTAAGCTTTTGTCAGTTTGTCAATGGCTTGTATTGATGATCACTTTTTTTGGTGAAACTTAATAAATAAATAAATTTTAACGTTCTAAAACTGTGACAGAGGAGCGCGTGTCTAATAAAGATAGAATTATAAAATCTGTCTATATGTTTGAGTGTCGTGAAATTTCGATACCGATTTTCGTGAGATATTTTTTACTCGCCGTGTCACAATAATATTAATAAACAAATATCATAACTACAACCGTGAGATATTCTCACATAGGTTAATTAGGTCATCATATTGCGTTTACTCAACACACGAGAGATAAGAAGAGAGAAAGGAAGAAATCATTTATGCGCCAAGCAATATATTTTTTTGATTGCCCTTGTAGGCAGACGAGCATACGGCCCACCTGATGGTGAGTGGTTAACGTCGCCCATGGACTTCAGCAATGCCAGGGGCAGAGCCAAGCCGCTACCTACCGCTTAATACTCTCCACGAGCCTCGTTTGAAGAAGGACATGTCATAGCGCTCGGGAAATACCGTGGAGGGGAGCTCATTCCATAGCCGGATTGTACGTGGCAAAAAAGACCTCTGGAAACGCACTGTGGATGACCGCAGTGGCTCCAGGTAGTATGGATGAACTCTACTCCGGTTGCGGGCGGTGCGATGTTAAAAACACGCATAGTGAAAATGAGTTATTACATAAGTTAAAAACAGTGTGTATGCTTTGTATAGCAGACAGATTATCCTATGTGAGTGTAATTTCAAGCAAGATAAACGCCAATTTTGTTAATAATCGAATCTAGTGTCTTTAATTAAACAGATCTTGGGGCAGCTGACAGAAACTTCCGTGCATTCAAACATTTGTCAAAGTTGCTTTTGTCATGTAAACATAAATATTTAACGCTGGGGAATCCATTTACGGATACCCGGTCAAGGGGGGTAACGGACCGGGTTATGTCGGACTCCGGCGCCTCCTGAGAGGAAGAAGGGGAGAAGAGAAGAGCCGAGGTCCTTCACCTCCCCCAATTTCTCACAGGAGACTACGCCTTGAAAAAGGCGCGCTAAGCACTTGCCCCGCAGAACGACTACCGACTAAACCCCATCGAGCCCCACCACTCCGACTCCACGAAACCCACGGTACCGCACAGTGCGCGCCGAAATGTAAACATAAATATGCAAATTAAAAAATTGGCCGCCTTTATTTCTTTTTTTATATTTTTAAATAATAAATATACAAAAAAAAAACTATTAATTAAATAAATTATAAAAATCAAAAAACGCAACATAGTTCTCAAGTGAAGCTATATTTTCAGAAATAAATATTCTTGGATAATAACCATATTTCATTTAAATTTGAAGACACGGCCACGAGTAGTTCGTTGACATTTAAACCCGTGAAGCTTGCAATAGTATTTGTTTACCTCAATTTCAGTTAACTGTATACACTTCATAGACGGACAGCCCACTGAGTTTCTCGCCGGATCTTCTCAGTGGGTCGCGTTTCCGATCCGGTGGTAGATTCTGCGAAGCACTGCTCTTGCTAGGGTCAGTGTTAGCATTACTCCGGTTTGAGCCCCGTGAGCTCACCTACTAGTTAAGGTTACGCTGTAATAGCCTCTCAAGGGTATCAGCTTAGGTAAGAGAAAAAAATAATAATAAACTGACAATGTTAAAATAGGCATTTTAGTGTATATTGAAAATTAAAAAAACGAAGATTCCTGTCTATAAGTTTGTAAGACAAAACCGTGTCAGGTCTGCCGTGTGTGAGTGACGCGCTCGGGATTATCTGGCGGGCGGCGGGTGCGCGCACGCATCCCGCCCAGTCGCGCGCCGCCCGCCCTACACCACGCACACACCTCGCACACAGGTCAGTCTGCAACTGCATTCTAACGAAAATATCCTTACAGCATGTCACCTCGGCAACCGTATAAACGCGTACCTATCAAAGCTCGATTTTTATAATCTCCGCTGCTTCGGTGAATACGCAACGCCCGCGGATGTAATTAACCAAAACGGCATTTTGTATTAGCGTTTGCACGAGTTTTTAGATGTAACGGCACACAGATTATAAATAACGACCTGGTTTCTTTGGTGCAGTGATTGCGAGGGTATTCGCATTGATATTAATGTTTTTGTCGTGTCAAGTATACCGTTATTACATTCTGATAAACATCGTACAAATGTATTTTAATGTAATCTTCTCAATTAGTATCGTTGGTCATTAATCCTATTAATGTGCTAAGCTTAAACGTGACACTAACTTGAGTAAATAAACATATGACAAAATTCTTAATTCTTACGATGCTCCGCCTTATTCGAAAAAAAAAAGCCTTATTCGTTCGTCGATGATCCGTGTAAACACAGAAGCTCACGTAATCTGAACTTATTCGTATGAACTTAGCTTAAATCGAATAACAGAAAAACAAAGATTGTAATTTACGGTAATGCGATATTTGGAACATAATATTATAAAGCAGGTTTTCGAAATGTTTTTCTAAATTTTTATGCGTTGTATGTAGTGAATTACGATCTACCTAATAAATAAGCGGTTACTTACATATAGAACGCAGCAATGTCGTCGCTCAACTTGCAAGTTAAGAAAGCCTCATGTGTGTTGGGACATTGGTATTCTACGTATATTCTGGTATATTCTTTCATACGTACAATTGCCCCTCAGGTTGAGCCCGTGAGCTCACCTACCCGTCCGGACGTTGCTGAATAGCCCCTTAAACTATAAGCGAATAGGTAGGAATAATTGAAAAACAATTGCTTAACGATAGAAATAAAATGGTAACGCCTTCTCACTCACTACATCCCTGCAAACAGGACTCAATATATTTTGTTCCTGTAAATGAACTAAGCATAATATGAAAATTAGGTAGCACTAGGCTTCACATGAATGAAGGGTAAACAGGCAACAGTTTCATCAGTATCTTGTAAAATATAATCCAGCCAGTAACATGTTTGATTGTAAGATTTTTATTATATAGAATCGAATAGAAAATTATAATCTAGAAGCATAATGAAACAAGAATGAAATGAAAAGATATTGTTTTAAATTCATTTAAATCATGCCATACAAAAGTATTCCTACAGCTTTGGAATGATTCATTAAAAACCTAAACTAAGAATTGAGATCACGTTCAAAAGATTATACAATCATAGATAATATAATTATAATTAATGAACACTATATTTTGTTACGTAAACTCAAAGTTTTGGAAGCATTTTTTTCGGGCTATTTTTTGGACACTAACTGAGAAACAATTTATAATCTTTTATATTGACGAATAATTTTATTATTTTCAAATTAAATTGTTAAATTAATATTTAGTAATAACAAAAAACTCTAATGAAAATCGAATGATTTCCGTATCAAGAGAAGCTATCGAGACTCAACCAATTAGTTTATTAATGTCAATGTATCGTCACAATTACCTCTGTTGTCCGATTGATTTAGACAATTAAATTCTTCACTTTCATTGCGAAATCGGAAATTTTGTTTCCTATACGAATTTTAAAACAGATTTCGCCGCCGAAATGTTTTTTTTTTTCTTTTTCTTTAGCACTGCATTAAGTAAAATCCTAGCCACTATGATAATCATTGGTTTTAAAATACTAGAAAGACCATTATTTTACGAGAAAAGTTATTAAAGTTTTAATTTAATTTATAAATATCAAAATGGTGAACAGATGAAACTAACTATTTATGTTTAAAGAAGCTAGAATACTAGGATTGAAGTTCTTTTATTAATTTTGTCAACGTTTTTTTATTACCTTCTTGTTCATAAAAAATAAGGTGTGCTAAATAGCTATGACTAGATTATACACCTTATTCATCATCATTTTGATGCCTACTAAAAACTAACATTTTTCAACAATGTTTTTAATTATGGCTTCTATTCGAGATTATCCCAAAAATTCCTATAAACATTTAGTTGCTTAACAGTGAGGAAATAAACGGCGAAATCAATTTAAACTGAGACGGAACACTTTAGTGTTTCGTTTAAAAACGCATCAGTGAATACTTGGGCAAACTATCAAAACGAATTAAACAAATATACGTTATATTTACTTTAAGCAAAGCATGCAACAATTCACAGTGTAAACAAACAAGAAGTAGAATTAGCGGCGTGTTCCGTGAAATTTTATTTACATGTCTATATACATCTTATCTAAATTATTATACAAGTTCAATAGATGCATATCAAAGATCGCATAAAAACTAAAAAAATATAGCTAATCTTCTATCTTCTACATATATAAAAAAGAATTTGAATTGCTGTTCGTTAGTCTCGCTAAAACTCGAGAAGGGCTGGATCAATTTAGCTAATTTTGGTCTTGAATTATTTGTGGAAGTCCAGAAAAGGTTTAAAAAGTAGATAAATATGAAAATGCTCGGAATTCAATAAAAATAACAATTTCGTTTTTTCTTTTGATGTGTCCCCCGTCGGACGGATTCCTTTTGTCTTTTATTTATCGATTGTGGCACTACGAAGTCTGCCGGGTCAGCTAGTAATTCATAAAAATTACAGAAACAAGTTATCGCCTTCAAACTTTTAAAATTGCCTTCGTTCATATCGGTGTCAGGTTCGCGTTTCTAAATGTACCCGCAATTATTTTATGCGTTACAGTTTTGGTTTACGCGCTTGAGTTCCTCTGCTAACATCCAAAGTCGCACTAGTTCAAAAAATATTAGTAGCATGTAGAAAAAATGTCGTTGCTTTGAAACCAATATCTTGTAATTGTACCTTGTCCGAACTTGGGACTGTTTAGTTAATTTGTTTGCGTGTGTTTAGTTAAATTTCAATGTTTTTAAATCTAAACTGAACAGAAGTACGTTTTTATTGAAGTTCTCAAGCTAATTACACGTACACACAGGAATTAATGTAACGGAAACGAATAGAACCTTTAATGGATAAGCTTTTAAGGTAATTAATTTTCTTTTTAAATGCGAAGCAACTTTTGAAGTCGTCGTGGCCTAAAGGATAAGACGTCCGGTGCATTTGTATCTATAGCGATGTACCGGTGTTAGAATCCCGCAGGCGGGTACCAATTTTCCTAATGAAATACGTACTTAACAAATGAAGAAATAACATCGTGTAATAAAAAATCAAACCCGCAAAATTATAATTTGCGTTATTACTGGTGGTATGACCTCTTGTGAGTCCGCACGGATAGGTACCACCACCCTACCTAATTCTGCCGTGAAGCAGTAATGCGTTTCGGCTTGAAGGGTGGGGTAGCCGTTGTAACTATACTGAGACCTTAGAACTTATATCTCAAGGTGGGTAGCGCATTTACGTTATAGATGTCTATGGGCTCCAGTAACCACTTAACACCAGGTGGGCTGTGAGCTCGTCCACCCATGTAAGCAATAAAAAAAAAAAAGTTATTAATTGGTATGCCTTAAAAAACAGGTCCTAACTAGATTCTAAATGTTGAAAACATGACTTTTCCACACACACACACACACAATCAGGTTGATCACCCGTTAGTGAGCATTTTTATTGCTTCGTCTCTTGTGCAATACACTGCACGATTGTAATCAGTTTGAGTGTTGGGCAAACACATAAACCAACCGAATGCACCCGTTGATACGTTATTCTAGTATTTCTAACAATACTAGTGGAACCCGGTCACGGTCCGCTGTAACGTTAATTGTATTACATCTATTGAATTTTTGAAACCACTCGTACCTGAACTATGGCTGTACTGTGTAGTGTAATATGACTGTCTATGACTATACTATAGATTAACGATTTAGGAACTTACAGTAAAAACATGTAAACATTCATATTTTTTTTGTTATAATATATAGATAGATCTTATATGGATCAGCTTGTTGGACCACTAAAGTGGCGGATGAAAGGCGATTGGATGCAGCAGAGATACGAATGTTGCGATGCATGTGTGGAGTAACGAGAATGGATAGAATACGGAATGAATATGTTAGAGGAAGTCTGAAAGTGACACCTGTGACAGAGAAGCTGAGAAGTTCGCGTTTGGGATGGACATGTGATGAGACGAAATGAAAATAAGGTTGGTATGAAAATGTTAATTATGAATGTGGAAGGATATAGAGGAAGAGGAAGACCTAAGAAGAAATGGACGGATTGCGTGAAAGACGATATGTAAGAGGGGAGTGAGCGAAGAAATGGTATATGATAGAAGAGTATGGAAGGAGAAAACATGTTGAGCGAAGAAATGGTATATGATAGAAGGGTACGGAAGGAGAAAACATGTTGCGCCAACCCCAGGTAACTGGGAGAAGGGCAGGATAAAGATGATAAAGATAGATCCTATTGTATCAAATATTCCTTTTTCTTCGAAACGCTTAGAGTAGCTCATGGCCATAATAAAAATGCCAAAACTATATTTTTTTTATTGCTTTAAATGGGAAAACTAACGTTTGCCTTTATATGAGGCCCGGCTTGTTACACGTTGATTTCATAAATCTTGATTCATGACATGCGAAGCTCCAAGTGGAACGCTCGAATCCTTTGCAAGAAAAATTAGTAGGAAATACATATAATAATGTGCCGCCATTAAAACTTGTGGATAATTAGGGACAGGGGGTTGTACAATTGAAGCAATTGAAAAGACATTATTTTTATCACGCATGCATTTAACGAATTTAGTAGAAGGGCCTAGAGGTGACTGGAGTCACGTAACCATAGACCCAGATAAATAGGCGAAGATACTACTACTACCATTAGTAATGAAAGATCCACTAAATACGAACCATCTTCAGAATTGAGATCACAATATAAATAGTAACGGAACACCGGCTACCTGAGTTTATTTAAATTAGCATAACGCAAACATGAAAATGATTAAAATGCCTACTGATATTTAGGTTGCATC